AGTAGCCGCCCACGGCTAGTTCTCGCGGCACCACTGCGAATGCCAACCAGCTGCCAACGCAATCGGCCGGCAACAAGCCAACAACCAAACAACCACCAGACCCAGGAGTCGCTGAACGCTGAACGCCTCCCGGACCGGAAGGGACCCCGAGCAACGCGCTCGGCAGGAGCCCAAAAGGACGCCGTCAGTTGATACGCCTGTCCCCGCCGTCCAGGCGCACAGCTGCTGCGCCGCACGGCCGCGCCGCTACTGTACCTGCTCTCGGCGGTGCGCCTACACGGGAAGCCGCAGGTGAGGTGGCCGCCGCGGCGCCGCCAGCTTGGTCCCGCGAGCGCGCGCGACTCGGCTGGTGCTGTGCATCTTAAGGCCCTCCACAGCGTTGTTTCAGAGTGATGCTAGAAGATGAGAGAGTGAGAGTGTTTTAGCACCACTCCTCACACTACAGCCATTGATGCCAGCAAAAATCTAGGAGCAAATCAAGTAGAGGAACCGGTGCTCAATTAATAAACAAAGAAGAAAAGTGAAGTCGCATAGTCCTTCACTCTCTCCTCCATTCAATATACTGCTTTGCTTGTTGTTTATCTTTTTCAGCTCTGTCATGGGGCCAGCAACAATGCCCGCACACTGCAGCTCAAACAGCAGGGTGCCTATTTTCAGGTGTATAATCAAATTTTATTTAGGCACCACCATCACATTGTGAAGGCCTTAGGCCCTCCACAGCGTAAGCCTGGAGTGATGCCTAAAATGGAGAGAGAGAGAGGGTTAAGGAGTCACTCCTGCCACTGCAACTCGCAATGCTAGCGCTACAAATTTTGGGAGCGAGGCATGTACAGGCATCAATGCCTATTGAATTTTTATTTTTAACCCCACAAAACATAATTAGCCTGTTCGTTGGTTGGTTTCTGGGCTGATAAGCTCGGCTGGTGCTGGTTTGTTGTGAGAAAAAAACACTGTTGGCTGACTGATAAGTCCTAGCCAAAACCAACGAACGAACAGGCTGAATAGCTCCTCGAACAGAACCACCATCCACGACACCCCGAAAACTCTCCTCCGTTCAATCTCCCCATCCGATGGCTAAGATTGGTTCCGTCAGATTTTACTGAATCGGATTCTCCTTCTTCTTCGTAGCTTCTCGTGGCTCCTCCTCATGTTCCTTTGTCTAGAGAGATGACGCAAATCTCTGGTGCCGTAGTGGTGGGCCCAGCGCGAAAGTCGCCACAGGTGCGCGCCAGCCGCTTCAGCAGCGCCGCGCCATGGGAGGAGAAGGCATGGCGCTTCGAGGGTCCATGGTCGGCGCGCCTTGACCGAAGCGGTCAGCTGCGAGAGCAGCCGCGGCGAGGAGAGGAGAGGGCGGACGGATCTCGTAGGTGCCGCTCGCGGTGGGGATGGAGGCGGCTTGCGCGCGGCGGCTCTCACCCGCGGTGGTGCTTGCCCGCGGTGGCGCTCGCGAGGCGGCGGACAAAGGGGCCCGCGCTGGGGATGCTGCTGCGTGAAGGGGGCCGCGCGCCTCGCCGGATCTCGCGCTGGAGTTCGCAGCTCGATGGCCGGTCGCGGGAAAGACAAAGATGGAGGAGCAAGCGTCACCGGACGGAGAAAACTGGAAGTGTTTTTTTGGGTTCGCTACTGAAGAAGGAAGGTTGTAGGTGCATGACCATTTTCCTATACGTGACTCAAACATCGAATAGGTATTGTGTTTGCGTATACGTGACTCAAACATCGAATAGGTATTGTGTTTGCGTCCTTGCTGTTGCAGACGGTCTCACCAGCCTCCGCGCTCCGCCTGCCTTTTCCAGACTTGGACACCACGCACGCACGGTACGGGGTACGGGCGCGGTAAGCTTGGCGTTCACTCCAGTTTTCTCCGCTCTGCGGATTCCTTTCAACCGCCAATCGGCTGCACATGCTGGCTAAATCCACACAGTAGACCAGGGAAAGAGGGTGTCGTCGATCGTGCGTCGTGCAACCCTCTTCTGTGACGACGCTGCCTTTTTCTTCTTTTTACCAAGAAGATAGATAATCAATGTTGTTGGAGATCACCACAGCGTGGCCTGTGCCGCGGTAGTGCGCTAGCTGGGGATTACCACGGCACCACCGACTGTATCTGTATGCTACTAGTATTTATTAACAGTAATAACAAAAATACATTTACCTGCCATGTTTACTCGATCAGGCGGCTTCACACAAATTGTCACACTCAGCCGAGGGTCACCGTTACAGTTTACCCTATCTTGAGCCCTTGAGAGAGCTCAGTCTGCTGGCTCTGTTGGGTGGTCGCAGATTACAGAGCCGGGCACGGTTGGCTGCTTTAAACTGTCTCGAACAACCGCTACAAAAAATACAAGACATATTCTAAGTTTAGGTAACGCTACAGGTAAAGGGTTCAATACATATTTTTGGTTTTCTCCAATAACAAGACCTAAAAGAGAACCATTTCTGTAAATAGGTCTACAAGAGAGAGGATACTCAAATTTAAGTTATACCTCTCATGACACTCAAGTTTTTCATATAAATACTCTGTTGAAGACCTATTTTGAGTTTAGACGGCCTTAGGTCATGCCCAACGCACCAGGTTGGACAGCTGCCCCGGCCTCCACGTCGGAACCATGGCTCCATGTCACAGCGAACAGCGTCCTCGCAGGGCGTCAGAGCTTCCCGCAGAGGAGCCATATGCTTCACCCGAAAAAAACACGAAGCACTTGTTTGAGCCCGCGTTGGAGAGTAGAACCAGAGGGAGAAAAGCTGCAGAGTGGACAGAGTGGACAGTGGTGCGGCTGACAAAAGCTCTGAAAATGTACTGCCGGAGTAGAGACACGCAGCCGCAGGCAGAATCCGGGTGCAGCCGCTGGCGTTGGCGAGGGTCGCTGGACCACGGCCACGGCCCACGGTGTCCCCTGGCCCCCTTTCCCCTCACGCGTTTCGTTTCATTTCATCAGTGGCCTGTGATCAGGACGAGCCAAAGTAGAGGAACTGTACTGTAGCAGATTTTGAAGTACTACCAGAATCATTCCCGCAATTACTTGCCGAGTCTTAAAATAAAGCTGTTGAGATTGGATGCGTTTCCTCCAGTCTCCTTCTTCCATTGTCATCAAATCATCATAAGCGACGGGACTTGACGCAACCCTTTTTCTTAGACAAGAGACCTGATGCTAGTATACGGTCTGTTCGCTGGTTGATTTCTAGATTTATCGGTCCGACTGATGCTGATTTATTGTGAGAGAAAAACACTATTACCTAATTGATAAACCATGTCTAAAACCAGCGAACCAACGTGATAATCCGAGAGCTTCCCAGTGCGTCTATCTTTACTATTTTTTATCTGAAGAAACTAAAGCCACGTTATCTACAGCAGTTTCAGAAAGCTGCTATCCGGCCGCAGCTACAGGCCGAGGTTGCGCACAATCAGATATGGCCATGGTCACTAGCAGCAACGTATTGCCTGCAGCCGTAGCCATGAGCTGACGTCGAGGCAGGCAACCCAGACACCCCAGCCATGGACGTACGCTGCAGGCCAGCGCAAAGTGTCTTTGCAAGCAAAAGTGTAAAACTGATGCGGTGTTTAGTTGGGTAAAATTTGTGCAAGTAAACTTTGTATAGTGAAGATTCTATATTGTAGCATTTCATTTGTATTTGTAAATTATTATCCAAATATTGACTAATTAGGCTTAAAAAATTCGTCTCGCAAAGTTAAAGCAAACTGTGCAATTAGTTTTTGATTTCGTCTACATTTAGTACTCCATACATGTACCATAAGTATAAGTTTGATGTGATGGAAAATCTTCATTTTATATAGTGCATTTTTTAGAAATTTGGAGAAACTAAAATCTTATGCTCAGAAGAAAAGGCAACAAGAAAGGAGAGCTGCTACTACTATGCTACTAGAGTCATGTGAATGTTTTCTCGCATGGATCTCAAGCGTCGCACCGAAAACCTCACACTCACCGGTGGCAGTTTTATCAGGTCCTGGTAAAAAAAAAGAACTGTATACGATTGCCCGTCAACTTGAATGCAGAAGGTTTTCAAAAGAAAAAGGACTAGCATAAAATGCCACCTGAAATTGGCGTTTTTTGAGCAAGTTGAGCGAAAGCTACGTACAGGACGTTGAATAATCTATCTGCTCGATCATGTGACGGAACCTAGTCGTTGTATACTCCCCTAGTCCACAAAATAATGCAATTCTCACGAGGAGATGGGCAGTTAAAATTTTGACCGAATTTATATAAAAAGTACTAACACTTTGATACAAATAAGTATTATTAGATTAGTTATAGAATATATTTTTATAATAATTTTATTTAGAGAGATAATTTTTGTACTATTTACTATAAATTTAGTTAAATTTGAGTTAATTTGAACTGCACGTATCCTATAAATGTTTTTTTGATGGATGGAGTACATTCTATCTAATACAATTTTCTTGTAGTTTTTTTTTACAACAATTTTCTTATAGTTACTAGTACAAAGAGTTTCAACAATGTTGAGTGCGCTAGCAAGTCAGCTGAAAATTTCCTCTTTCGATCGATTTGTTTAACGGTGAGTGAAAGCGTTTTTTTGTTTGTATAGAGAAAAAATGAGCTCAGAATACGTCTTCCTACGTGGCGCCTACGTGGGCGTACACGACGTCCAGCGGAGCTAGAAATTCTCCTGGCCCCCGGGGGGCTGCGCCGCTACGCGCACCCGGCGACGCCCACACGAAATCCCCCGCTTCCCCTCTATTTATACACACCACCGATACGGCGATATAAAACAGACACAAGACTACTCAGCCCCTTCTCCTCTCCCACCCGGCGCCTCGCCGGAGCTCCGCCGCCGCCGCTGTCCGGTTCCGAAGCAGCAGCCACCGACGACACCGCACATCCGTGGAATGCCCTCGGATACGCCACCCCGCGCTGCGTCTTCCTGAGGCCGAGGCTCCGACGCCGCCGAACCCGTGCATCCCACGGGTCCGGAGGAGGAAACGGGAGGAGCTGCTGCTCGGCGGCCGCCGAGGAGGAGCCTAGGGGATGGGGACCGCGAGGGGGTTGGCCCGCGTGCGGCGGGAGGCGCTCGCCGCGTGCATGACGTGCCCGCTCTGCCGGGGACTTCTCAGGGAGGCCACCGCCATAACCTTGTGCCTCCACACATGTGAGTGCCTTCTTCTCTCTCTCTCCCTCCCTCCCTCGCGACCCTGGCTGTCTCTGTCCCGTTCGTTCGTTTCAAGTCTCTATCCGCGCCTGTCTCTGCCCGCGCCCGCGCCGCGCGCCCCCGCGTTGACGCTCGTCTCCTCGCGTTTGCGTCCTTCGTTTTGGTGTCGGATTCTTCCTGTTCTCTCGTTCAGATGCCCCCGGCGATCGGGCTGGTGTCCGATGCGAGTTCTTTGATCCCAGGAGGGTGGAGAACGCGCTGCCTTTCGCGTGGATTGCGGGCGTGGCTTTCGTCGCGCGTCCTGCGTGGTTGCCCGTGGTGGCCACAGGCCACCTCGCGCCGCGCGTTCGCGTTTGCTTCCCCGTGGCCGGCGTTGCTGTTGGAGACTACGAGCTCAGCGGGAGTCGGGGTTTCGTGCCCGGCGCCCACGGGGATGGTTCTTCCCACGTCGCCGTGCATCTAGTGTTTTCTCTGCTTGTTCTTGACGATCCCGAGGTGTCCCGTGGCGCCTCTTGATCTGCACGAGGTCCAAAAGGCGCGGGCTTTCTCATCAACTGCGTCTGCTTCGTCGACGCCATAGTTTAAAAGGCGGTTAGGCGTCCAGGCGAGTGCTTGGTACGCCGGGATGTTTAGGCGGCGCCTAGGCGACGCCTAGGCCACAAGGCGCCACTGTTTCCCAGATGAGCTGGGTATGCCTGGACGCCTAGGCGACGTCTTGAAAACTATGGACAAAAGGATCATCCTAAGATGATCATCTCATGGCTATTGGGAACGAATCAAATCGGATGATTCTATTTCTCAACCTTTCTAACTTGCTCCTACGGAACCAAGGTCGAAAGGATTGAACCACTAATGAAGGATTTCTCAAAAAGTTAAGGATTAGTAGTTATTTTTTGAAATCCATTTCGAAAAAAGAATGGATTCGGTCTTATACATACGCGAGGAAGGTAATAAAAAGGAAAGAAGACGAGTTCTTCTCTCTTTTATCACTTAGGAGCCGTGCGAGATTCGACGCCGAGCTACGCCCAGCTGCCGCGGGAGCTACCCGGGACGGCCCCGCGCTCCCGTCTACGGCACGCTCGCGCTCGGTTTCTCGCCGCCGCCGTGTCCCCTATCTCGTTCCAGTGTGCTCGGTTCTTGCTCTGCCCGTCTGCCGAGTGGGCAATGCTGCGAAGCAGCAGCGCTCAGGCGGCTCCCAGGTTTCATCAACGCCGCTGCAGGCTATTCGCAGTCTTAACTCGGAACAACCGTTGGGATGCGTGCCGCAAGTTATCTTTGCCCTGAGCAGACCCTCGGCGGTGACCGCCGGTGCTGCACATCCTCTTGCCTATGTCTCCCATCCGCGATTCCTGACGGGGTGACTGAACAACTTTCGGTGCATGAACGCTTGCGGACCGCGGAGCTTTTAGTGCTACGGGAAAAGGCTGTAAAGCGCTGGCACTTGTTGCGGAATGTTTGAGTGTCATGCATCGAGGCATTCTAGTAGCTTCCTGTGAGTTCGGTAATGGTCGGGAAGTTTAAGAAGGGTGCCATTCTAGCCTGCTTCTGATAAGAAACGTGGTCTCCGATTAGCTGGAGTCCTCATGCTTATTACTGATAGAATGGGAAATTGAATTCAGTTGGATGCTGTGATTGTGTACTGCCTTCTAGTAGTTATTTGTTGAGGGAGTTGGGACTTGTATAAGGAAATTACTTGTAGTGCTCATGCTACATGGTTTGATCTGCAGTTCTGCAGCATTCTTGTGATGTCAACCATGCAGCATAGTGCGGCACATATCCTTGTAGGAACCAGAGACCAAAGGAAACACTTCGGCAGGAGCTTGCAGAGTTTGTGTGCCAAATATTGCAAGTTACTAGTTGCTGCGAAAGAAGTTCACACGTGTTGTTACCGTTATCAGTTGTTTTAAACCTCTTTTTTTTTTTTTTTAACGCAATGTTTTAAACCTCTTTCTGAATCTGGCTTCCTTGTCTTAATAGAATTTCTCCTATTACTATGTCTTTGACAGTTTGTCGGGGGTGCATTATGGAGAAAATAAATGATGAGGAGGTTGACTGTTGCCCAGTATGCGACATTGATCTTGGCTGCGATCCTGAAGAGAAACTCAGGTGAATCAGTTGTTCTAACTTTTGAGTTTCTTCTGTAAAACATAGTTTCTACTTTCTCCTTACCCTGTTCTGGCAATGCCTTCTGCGTTCAATGTTTTTGTACAAGTGCAACCATGAAGATGAAGCATTAGTATGATGTGAAGTCCTATACATCATGCTATTGCTAATGAGTAATAAAACCATGTATCTTGAAAACTTCTCTGACAAACTCGGCCAGTAATGGCGCCAAGATCAAGGGATGGTCAAAGTGCAGAGAAAGGATTACAGAGATTATCTTAATGGATAAAACCCATATGTAGTGCTATTTGCCTAGGATATCTGCAATTCAGAGTTTCAGACAAACAATCTCTGTCATAAATATAGCTTGGGTTTTTAGGTTAAACGCTTAAAGTACTTGGAGTATAAACATTCACTTTCCTTCTACACTGTCGCATATTCGCATATAGCATTTATTGAAGCAGCCTTTAGTAAGTGTCCTATTAATAGTTTGGCTATGACATGATCTATTGTTGACATATCATATCTGATTGAAAATCATTTCTTATGATTATCACTTTAGGGAGGACATAAGCTTGTAATACACCTTTATGGGTCATGTTTTTTTAATTTGACAAAAGTTGGAGAAACCAGCCTCTCCTGTGCTCACTGCCTACGTTTTGTACTGTAGTTCTTTTCTGAATACTTTTTTGCCTCAAGTACCCAGTTTTTTTTATTATGTAAACAGAAGTTTGGGCCATAGTGTTGCAGCTTCTTATTTATTTCTAGTGCATCGACTGATCAACTATGAATTGATGCTACCTAACTGTGATCGTTTCCTTGTTTGAAGGCCTGACCACAACCTTCAAGATATCAGGAATAAGGTATTTCCAATTAAAAAGATAAATGTTGATGCTCCAAAGGCTGTAACAACATTGCCAGCAAAGAGAAAACAGAGGTCCCTTTCTTCCTTGGTGGTTGATACTCCAAGCGTAGTAAAGCAGACTGGTTTGACTGGAAAGGGAACCAAAGCTAAAAGGAGGGCAGCAGCTTCTCGTGCAACTTCTCCCGTTAATAATGGAACCATGAAATTACCAACTAAATCTGAAAATCGAGATCAGAAGACTGAGAAAAGCTCTGCATCACAATCTACCAAGGTGGCAACAACTGCAAACAAAACTGAAAATCAAGATCAAAAGAAGACCAGGAAAACTTTGGCAAAACAGTCGACCAGGGCAGCAACACCAGCAAACAAAAAACAGGTAAATATGGAGAACCATCTGATGTTTGTAACATCACATTATTTCATGTGAAATTTCTCTGTGGATTCTCTTGTTAAAATGGCTTGTTCTCACACATCATTATGCTGCAAAACAGCGAAATACAGATGTAGAAGTTTCAAGTAAGGCATCTTCCGAAAATAGAAAGAATGGCAAGACAACTGACAAGGATGAGCTCCGTAAATCTTCAAAAGTACCTAGGTTAACTCCCAAAATCCATGCCGTCAATGAAGAGCAAATAAAAGAGAAAGAGAGTGAACTCCCTACAAGGAAAGGAGAGGCAGACAACAAAGTACCTAGGTCAACTCCCAAAATCCATGCCGTCAATGAAGAGCAAATAAAAGAGAAAGAGAGTGAACTCCCTACAAGGAAAGGAGAGGCAGACAACAAAGTGGTTATTCCCGGGACAAGTGTGAGAGAACATTCAAATAACTCAAATCTTAAAGAGAAAAATGATGGCAGTTCTCCAAAATCTTCAACATTGAAAGATAAAACAACAACAGAGGATGATTCGTACCAAGGATCGCTTGGTTCTGCAAGCGATTTGCATGATCCAATAACTACTCCGGTGTGGTTCTCGTTAATTTCTTTGCCTAACCAGTAAGTATTCATAGTGAACTGTTGCTTTCTTAAAAGCTGAGGAAACTCTTTTAAAAAATAGTATTCATAGTGAGCTAATGATTGTGATGATAATCTTATGTCATTTTCTGAGTTTCAAGTTAAAAATGCTAACTGGTTTTTCAGGAAAGAAGATCCACAACTTCCTCAGTTATCAAAGACTTACATGAGAATCAAGTGAGTTCCATTTAGTCCTGTTATTTCTTTTGACTCTTGCCATGCTTGTAAGCTCTTGTTCATAGTTTTGAGTTGTCCAATTCTTTGCCCAATTAGTCTGCTCCAGTCCGTTCAACGTACCGTGATGCTAATAATATTTCTTCTCAAGACTACATGACTGTAGTGATGTTACCATCCTGGTGCAATCTCCTGATTAGTTTGAACTCTGGTATTTTGTTCAACGTACCATGATGTAAATATCTTAGAACTTCTTTGGGCCATTCCAACTTGTTTTCTGCACTGGGAATTTATTCTCTCTCAGTACTAGCATGTGTTCTGTTCCCTGACATTTAATTCCTTTCTTCAGTTTAATTTTTGTCATTGTTTCAGAGATGGCAGTTTGCAGATTTCCTCGGTACAGAGGTACATCATGACGAAACTGGATCTAGCTAATGAAAATGAGGTGATTTACTCATATGTTGCTAAACTTCCATTTTTGTTATTAATCACAATAAAAACTGACCTGACCACTTATTTGTTGGCCCACAGTTAGCCTCATGACCACCGAGATGATCTCCAGACCACTCCGTTGGTCTCACAGGATCACCGGCTCACGACAGTGAACCACTCCAGCCGATCTTGCCGACCACCGGCTCAGGCGAGTGGAGCACTTGTCGGTCTCGCCGAGCACGCGCTAGTGTTGCCGAGCACCCACTAGCCGTGCAGACCACGTACCGGCGTTGTCCGTACCCACACACTACGGATCGAGCTAGAAGAGGAAGGGAGAACAGAGCAAGCACGCACAATACAAGGCAACAGCGTTGGCCGAAGCCCTGTCTGTGTGATGGTAAATCTGAGCTCTCTTTACTGAGTTGCCATACATGTCTATTTATACAACTCTAACTATCTAGTCCATGTGCAGCGCCCATGCTGGCACAGTAACTAGATAACCTGACAGGGCTGACTCTGCGCCGGCCACTGCCTGTTCCTACAGTGCTGTAGGTGAGCCGTGCGGCGCCTGCACCTACAGCGGCTACTGTATCACAGCAGGGGACAAAGTCGGCGCCGCCTTCACTTGTTGTGTTCACACACAGCAGGCAGCTAAGTCGGCGCCGCATTCCTCTGTTGTGTTCTCACAAGGTGGCAGTAGATTAGCTAACATTATTGACTTGTTTTAGAGTACCGGATTGACATAGACAATTAGACATCAACCATGCAAATGTGAAAGACCACTAGCAATACACTAAGTTAGTTTCAGAGTAGCCCTGCCATGGATAGAGCCACAAGATTCGAATGGCGAATTTTGTTCTCCTGTCCGCTGCAAATTAGCCTTTTTGTCACCTATTTCACATTCCTTCTGCGTGACATCCATATACTTGAACGCCTTAGTATCTTTCTGTTCTTTGCACTGATGCTTTGAGTTCATGCAAAGAAGGCGCTAATAATTCTTCTGTAGATGACAGGAATTCTGATTGATTCCATCCTTTTATTTTATCTGATCCCTGTTCCTCACCAATTCAACTGCAGGTGGAGATCATTTGCCATGGCGAGCCGATCTGCCCCTCGAGCACGCTGCATGGGCTGATGGAACTGTGGCATCGTAGACAGCCGACAGAGCCCGTGGAGGCGTTGGTGGGCGCGCCAGGCAACGAGTTCGTCATGGTGCTGGGCTACCGTCGCCGCCACCGCCCTAATTCGGTGCTCAGCACCGTCGCTGTGCCTCCAGAGCCATCCTGAAGCGGTCTGCAAGGGTGACTGTACCGCCGTGAAGCCTTGAACTGCACTGCTCCGTCCGCTTTTGTCCATCCTCAATCAGTCTAGCCGTTTAGGATAAAACAGAAGAAAGAAATTACCCCTACAGTTTTTTACTCGTTTCTTAGACTTTCTTTTGGATCGTACTCATTTCTTAGACTTTTGTAAAGAGGGAGAGAGGGGAAAGAAGTTAGCCTACCTGCAGTCTGTGGTAAATGATGTTATATTAAGCACTTTAAACAATCGTGTTTACTCTAACAACATTTCTGACGGAAAAAGTTACTAGGGTGAAATCGATCTCGTGTTGTTGCGCGGTGATTCTTCGTTCGCTGATTGCCGTGCCAGGCAGCGCACAGTGCCTGCTAGAAAGGGTGAAGTCTGAGGGCTGCTGGCGGCTGGCCGGCCGGCTCCGGTTGTTTCTATCTTGTGGTTTGACTTTGAACGGTAACTGTCTCTACGGCAACGGCAAAGCATAACCTGCTGGCTGCTGCACAGCATGGCCTGCATGCCAAGCTGGCGCACACAGTTCACAGCCATACTGCGCGGCTGTGAAGCTGGAGCTGTGCGTGCAGCAGAAACGCTTCACGAGCTTTTGAGCTTGAGGCTTGAGCTCCACGCTTCACGTCATGCCTGGAGCCCTGGACTGCTTCCCGACTCCCGTTGCTGACGCCTGACGGACGGTGACGAGCAGCTGGCCCAGCGAAAGGACGTGCCTGCGAATCTCTTCGCTTCGCTTCCAAGAAAGCGAGGCGGCCTTTGTTCTGAGCGAAGCAAAGCCGGCGCCACGGTGTTGACTTTGACCATCTGTTGTTGAACGTCACTTGTGCCCTGTTCAGTTTCCTCTCAAAACGCTAAATTTTTCAAGATTTTTTGTCACATCGAATCTTTGACGCAGCTGGCCCAGCGAAAGGACGTGCCTGCGAATCTTTTAAACTTAATTCCAAGAAAGCGAACAACGAAAACGCTACTACGGCCTTTTTTGCCAAAATTCTCTAAGCGAAGATGCTTAAAGCCCGCGCCACAAGTGTTGACTTTGACCAAATGTTGTTGAACGTCACTTGAGCGGTAGCTAATAATGAAAAAAATATTAGCGAGATCTTATTAGCTAAATAGTATTAATTATAGAGTTAAATACATCATAGGTCTAAATTTTTGGTGGATGTGTCATCTAGGTCCATCAATTTTCAAACTCGAATTTTTGAGTACATTAACTTTGATGATGTGTCATCTAGGCCATCAACTTTCAAACTGCATTTTGGGTTCATTAAATATATCAATTTTTAAATTACATAACCATCTCTAAACTTTTAACTCGTTCACCGTAGGTTCATACCCCTTCGTTTAGCTAGATCGATAGATATAACGCCAAAAAAACCCATAATAATCCGAAGATAATTTCAATCTACTCGATGGGATCACTGGGTTTCTCGGCGACGGCTCGAAGGCCATAAACCCATAATAAAATCTATTTTAATCTACGGTTCAAGCCAAGGCCACGATAAAGGTACACAAAACTCGACTCAAACAAAACTTCAACTCCCACTAGCCCAATTAGGATCGATTGACTCTGAGTCCCTGATTCGGCTAACATGTATGGCACGTCCAAACGTAGCCACCAATTTGACTCACTTACAGATATGAAACTAATGCATGAAAATAATAAAATACTACGGCAAGGATGCTAATCATGTTGGGAAAATTTCATTGATGATCTCCACCTCTTTAGAATCAGTACTGATGTATTTTGTTGGCTTCATTTTCTTATCCTTTCACGCAATAATAAAGAACCTCTATAAAATATCTTTATCTTTGATGACAGCCCAACAGTTGTAAAATTCTCCATGTCCACAATATATTTATCCTTAAAAATGATAGTCTCAAATTTAAGACCAGCGGATATTAACGAATTACTAGCTGCTACATTTGAATTATTGCTAGATAAGTCTCCATGAATATTTTGAAGAGCTATGGACTCATCACCTACTCCATGATGGCTGCTTATTTAGCGTGCCATGTTAGATCTATTCGCTAAACGTAGGGGTTAAAAAATTAATTGAACCAGTTAAAAATTTAAGGACAAAAAATGCAATTTGAAAGTTGACCTGGACGACACACCACCAAAAGTTAATTGACCAAAAAATGCAGTTTAAAAGTTGATAGACCTGAATGACACATCACCAAAAGTTAATGGACCAAAAAATACATGTTGAAAGTTGATAGATCTAGATGACACATCACCAAAAATTAATTGACCTACAGTACATTTCACTCTTAATTATATTAGCTAGATGATCCGACGGAACTTAGCTATTAGGTTAGCTCATTAATAATCCAGCTAGTAAAAATCTATTAGCTAGTTTGCCTTCTGCTAGCAGCTAGAATTAGCTGACCGGATCAAGTACGAATATACCCGAGAAGTAGAAGCGTGGTAAAATTAACCAAAGGAAGCTTCTTTTCGTTGACTCCGATGAGAAACCATGGGTGCGCGCTCACAACCATCGGTGCGCGCTCACTGCAGCTTTTTACGGAGCTGCAGCTGCAGCTCTGGCTGCGAACAGCAAACTGATTTCTACTGTATATCCTTTTACAACGTGCCGCCGCAGCTGAGAAAAATCAAACGAATATGCTGAATACGTGCAATACAGCTTGTACCTTGTAGTCCTGAGCTCCTGGCAACAGTTGTTTCATTTCATAGGCTAACATTTGCCCCCATCAAACCACAGGACACAGGCCCCGTTCGCTTCGTTGAAAAAACCAGCCGAACACTGTTTCAACTGATTTGTTGTGAGAGAAAAATACTGTTCTAGCTAAAAAAACAAGCTGAAAAATACGGATTATAAGAAAAACGAACCGGGCCTGGTATAACTTGTGCAGGATAGATCTGCGAATTGACAAAAGGTGAATAGCATTTGAAAATGAAATCCCACCGTGTGAGCACCCTCTGCCTCTGGATTATACAGAAGGAAGATTTGACTTCAATTTGCTGTTCAGAAATGCCACAGCAAAATGTCACCAAACTGCTACAGTACAAAAGAACGAATACTTTCCGCATGGCCAGTTGATTTCCTTCGTTTTTTATTACTGCTTCTCCAATGTTAGGCCAATGAGCTATTCAGGCAGCACTCAATCACAGAATGGAGAAAGAACCCAGGTTGACAGAAAAATACATTACAGGCGAACAGGGCCATAGAGTTAAGTTTAGCAGCACATAACTACAAAAGAGAACACAAAATCAAGGAAACCACAGGATTTTAACATTACCAGTCACTAGTCAGGTCATGATACTTCATATATCGATATAATAGAGATACAGTGAAGGTCAAAGGTGATGGACATGCACATAAACATGCACTGCAGGGTTGTAGAAGGATGGATCTATGGCAAGTCAGATACATGATATATATTCTAAAGGATGTACATTATACACCACTCAAGTTATTGAAATTTAGTAATTCACAGAGAGAATTGAGAGCACTAGAATGGGCTAGCAAAATCACAGTTGACATTCTGAGATATAACAGATTCGAACACCACCATTCCAAACACCAACTGAATCCAGCAATGATTTCAAATGATCATTGCACTTGTTTCACCACAAATATAGAAAAGCTTAACATGCTTACACACCCACAACCAATATTAGACATCGTGATGGTAATTACAAGGAAAATTGCCTGTCTTCAAGCAACAACATCAAGATTGCTGAACTGCATAAAGACTGCAACCCATGATGAATACCACGCCCAGCTGCGAGGATCAACCAATGCGGACATAGGTGGGCAAGATGGGTCCAGCGGCGCTCATGCCAGCGGCCTCCTGCTCCGTGAGGAAGAGGTCGTCGGTGGTCCTGAGCGCGGCGTGCGCGCTGACCAGCGCGCCCCCGATCATGACGGATCCCACGACGTTCCAGCCAAGGCTGGTGAAGAGCATGGCGATGACGGTGACCCCGCAGAGCGTGGCGAGCACGGTGCCGTCGTCGAACTCCATCCCCAGGACCCTGAGCGGCTGCCCCCCTGCGCGGGGCGCGCGAAGTAGAGGAAGAACCAGGCGGCGCAGAGGAAGAGGAGCACGAAGAGCGTGCCGGGGTGCCAGAGCAGCGAGGCCGCCACGACGGCGAGCACGGCCAGCGCGTAGTTGGCGCGGAAGTAGGCGGTGTTGCGGCGCATCCGGGCGAGCGCCTCCCCGACGGAGGGCGGCTTGGAGAAGGCCGGCGCGCGGAAGACCTCGGCCCACGGCCGGCGCGCCGCGATGAGCGCCTGCCCCTGCTCGCGGAGCCGCGTGACGAGCTCGCCCGCCTTGGCCAGCGGCGACGGCGGCGCCGTGGGGTCCTGGACCGCGGCGGCGTGGGTGGTGGAGACTTGCGTCGGGGTCGGGGGAGGGTTGGGGTTAGGGTACGCCGACGGGGGCGCCGGGTAGGTTGGGATCTTGGCGTACCCGGCACTGGTGCCCCCGGAGGAGGCGGGCGCCGGGTAGGTGTATCCGCCGCCGGGTGCGGAAGAGGCGGGAGCGACGTAGGCGGCGCCTGAGCCGTACATGGCGGAGGAGGCGGCGGGAGCGACGTAGGCGGCGCCTGAGCCGTACATGGCGGAGGAGGCGGCGGGAGCGACGTAGGCGGCGCCTGAGCCGTACGTGGCGGTAGAGGAGGCCGGAGGAGGGGTCTGGGCGGCGGCGGAGTTGCGCATAATCGCGGGGAGATCGGATTTGCAGGAGGCAGGAGAGGTTGGGGAAAGGTGGGGAGGGAAGAAGAATAGGACGCGTCCACGCACGCTTCGCTGGTTGAGTTTGAGGTACCCACGAGCCGAGACCCGAGAGGATGATTGCGCGGCGCTGTGCTTCGCTGGAAAACTGGGAGCCAGGGAGGGGACGGGCTCTCTATTTGTGGGGAGAAAACTGGTTTTGCTTCGTGGCAAAGCACCCAGTCGGAAGGTTGGACTCGTTTTCCTCTTACGCGTGCAACCCAAATCGCGTTGACATCATGCTTAACC